GGAGTTATATCCTTGGTACTAAATGGTGCGGGAGAAATGCATTAAAACTTATGGGATATAAACTGAAGACTTGTTTAAGAACAGCACAACTGAAACTGCTCCATGAAATGTCAGTAGATCTTAACACTTCAGCACAAGGTTCATAACATACAGAGTGAGTCAAAACCTCAGAATAACAAGGTATGTCATTATAATGCACATAGGAGTTCCACTTTTCAAATACAACAAATAGATCATTTTTAAGGGAACAGTAATATTCTTTAAATGCAACTCTTTCCTGACCTCCTTTAAGAAATGTAAAACGCACCAAGACAATGTGTCACAGGAATGGGCCTTTCACAAAGAAAATAGAAGTAAAACAAAAAATACTTCTGTTTTTGGGCTCTTTAAACATTAGAATTTTAATGGTAAGAAAGAAATCTGGATTAAGAGTGTCAGAGTTTAAATCCTTCTTTATTATACAGGAGAACAGACAAGAAGTTCTCTCTAGTTAAACAAATAAAGAAGAATTTACATGTAGAAACAAAAGTTTGTGTTTGTTATCTTGAATGATACCAGAGACAGATGCATGCTGGCTATATTACCAAGTGCTTTTTAACTATTTCACCTCAGTGCTTAAAAGTTTTCAGGAGACTCCTCAAGCTTGAGCTCTGAATAGCCAGAGACGTTGCCCAAGCACATTTTGAGCACTGAAATTAGGCTCAGGAGATTGTAGACTTTAACTTCCCCAATGATAAAGGCTACTGGGTTTGTCCAAAGTAGCTGGCTTCACAGCATCTCTTCTGTAAAGCTTAGGAGCTCCGCAAGACTGAAATGCCAGCATTACAAAGTTTAAGTTCTGGACAATGGTGCTATTGGAAATATCCAATGCTGTTGGACAACACTTCTGTCCTACAAAGTTTGGAAACCCTTCAGGACAATTAGTTTCAGTAAATCCTAGGGTACGTGTTTGAACTTTGGATAACAGAGGGTTGTGGTTACCAGAGTCCGGATATTCAAAATTTGGTTGAACAGAGTTACCAGCAGTGTAGTCTGAAATAGTCTGAAAGTAATTGCAATTTCTCTCCCTCACCCTCATACCCTCAGCTTTCCCTCTCCTGCCTCTTCCATGCATATACACATGATCAGAACTTATCTGACACACTATGACAAACCACGCTGGCATCAGCTGATAAAAGATCATCTAGGATGTCAGCAGGGAGCTTACTATTTTTTTCCTAGCACTGATAATCCTAAATTGATTACATCTTTGCAGCTCCCAAATGCTTTCTGTAAGAAGAGCATTTTCTTTAGCTGTATTCCAGCCAATCATAATGCAAGCTGCATCTCCTATTCAGAGTTTTGTTCATGTGATGAAATCTATACAAGGCTGAAACAAGGAATGGTTTTGTGGTGTGAATAATTTTTGCCTGGACCAGATGAGATTTATAGCCCATCTATCAGACAGCTAGATAAAAAATATATATATATATATTGTAAATACTGAATTGGCCTTTCACTGAAAGGAATTGCAAGGCTTTAACTTGGCTTATAAACAGACTTCATAGCTATTGCACTGGATGTGACAGAGGTGCTAATGTCTGGTAAGCAGCAGGTCATGGTACAAATACCATAGTGTGGATACCAAGTCACTTCTCATGAGAGAACAAGTGAGGGGGACATTGGGGCAAGCTTATTAAAGCTAAGTTGAGCAAATTGAGAGCCAATATAGAATATTTGCCTTTGCTTGCACTTTATATTACTTGTGGTTAAACAGAGACTTTCTATTTTCAGCATTTTCTGTCCATACACATTTAAGATAAAAAATGTGAACCAAGTTCACAAATGTGGACACAGATATAATTCTAAAGGCTCTACCAACCTCTTCCCAACTTTATAAACCTAGCTATGAGGCACCCAAAGCTTTCCTTTATGGGAAGACATTATGAGGCAGTGACATCTATTCTAGTGGATAAACTTTTAAAACCTCAAGGCTCCGAATAAAACTGTGGAGGAACAGATAGATTTTCATTTTCCTGAATCAGAGAAACAGAAACACAGGTTCTAAAAGAGGTACGAATCATTACAACAGGGTGTTGACTCTTAATCACAATGACAAAAGTTGAGGTGACCCTATTAAATGTTTAACTGCTCTTCATTTTAGGAGAAATGCTCCCCTAACTGAGGATCCCAGCTGAGTTTCAGTAGAGTTCTCCCCATACCAAAATAACTTATTTAAAAAAAAATCCTGTCCACAGTTAAGATCCTCAGATGAAAGAAAATATTTATAGTGGCAGAGTTGCTTTCATGTGTCAAGGTAACAAGCAAAGCTAAACAGCTCTTAGGTAGTGGGAATCATGCAGCTTTGTCACAGGAATAATTCTAGGGAGGAGAGAGGGGAACACCATCTCCTTTCAAAACTTTAGCTTTCAGGGGCACAACATCATTTTTCTTTTTGGGCACAGGCAGAAGTGTAGCTTCCCACCAACTCAGATTACTTTGCAGGAAGCATTCCAAGTTACAACAACCACCCTGTGTCAAAGTGGGAGTCCCTGGCTAGCAAGACAGCTAGTTTCCTCATCTGCCTCTGGGCATATCACCTACCTGTCTCACCCACCATGCCTTGTTGTTAATTAATTAGGTTCTTAATTCAGGCAGGAGGCTGCCCATTATATACCCCAATATTGGAGAGCTATCTGCAGCTCTGTTCCACCCCTACACCGCAGCCCAAGCATCACAGATGGCATCTTAGGCAGTTGGCTCAACCGTTCCCTTCACCCATTAGCTGTGGCCCCCAATCACGGGACCTTCACTTTCCATAAGCCCTGGTCCCATCTCAGGCCAGTTGGGACCCCAAGCTTCTTTGCTTATCATGGGCATCGCTCAGGGTGGGCCCCTAGCTCTTTTGTCCCTTCCAGTCCTGGCCCCAGCATTGACCAGTTGAGTGCCTTGGGTGGGTTTTCACCTCCTGCCTGCATTTAGGGAATCGGAGTCCCCCATTCCTAGCTCAGGTGCTCCTGGAAGCATGCCTGGCCCTGCAGGGTCACTCCCCCAGCAGGCTCAGGCACCTCTAGAAGCTTACCTGGCCTACCCTGCTCTGTTGGTGTATGGCCTACCTGAAGGTAAGGGCTAGGGTTAAGGCACCACCTACTTGCCTTTCACCAGGGTAGTAACTGGCTGGGCATTTCCTGGGAGCTCCCATGCCACTGAGAGCCCCCACCAGGCCACCCGCTCCTGGCAGGGTACAGTTTTAGGTCATGCCCAGGCACCTCCAAACCATCCCCTACAGCCCCTTCCCTTACCTCCAGGAAGGAGTATTCAGCTTAACAGCCAAGTAATGTTACTACCTGGCCTGGTAGCAGGCAACTGCCATGTTTATATAGGCAGCCATGGATGTAAAATGGCTGCTGCAATTAAGCACCTGCTGGCTGCTTGGCTCAGCTCTTAAAGTGGCAGGCACCAACAGTGCCCTGCTACTTTTCCCCCTGCCCCGACCAAACAGAAGTTCACTGGTGGTTCCAGGGGGACAGGAAACTACCTGCTGCCTGGGAGCATACAGCCAGTTTCCCCTAGCAATGGCTCCTTCTCCCTCCCAGCCTGTCCCTGTTTTCAGAATGGGAAGGGGGAAAGGGAGCTTAGTCAAGGGGCTCCCTAGTTAGTGCTGGAGACTGGGGTGGGTGAATTGGAGCCCCCCACCTCAGGGAGGGGGGGAGCTCCAAATATACCTGCCCACACACCAGCAGGGATTGAAAAACCCCAGACCAAATTCCCTCCACTCCCTCCTGCCCCATTCTGAAAACAGCAACAGGCTGGGAGGCAGTGCAGATGCAAGTTATAGAAGACACTCTATTTTGAAGCATCTTCAGCTGAACACTCATACAATGAGGGGTCAGATTTTCACCCATTTGGCCATGTTTTAAATGGTCTGCAGCTGTGCACTTGTGTTTGGTAATGCATTTAGATCACTTTCTGTGGCCAGATTGGGTGAAAATTGTCACTTCTGTGTGTGCCCTTTGATTCTGACTTTCAGCTTCTAGATGGATAAGGAAGGGGTAGTGAAAAAGCAGAGAAAGGGGGAGAAGCACATTGAGTGCTCCCCCCCCCATTACTCCTGTTAATCAGCTGTTTAGCTAGGAACCAAATATGTGGAGCCATGTCCCACTGCAGGGCAGCTAGACGTTATTGAGATTGTTGGCTCTTAAATGTCACTGAGCTAACTGTCATAGTAGCAAATAAACCTACATGTGAAAGTGAATTAGTGGCTATTGCCAGGCACTTCCTACAGATTCAGTCCAGCCCTAATTAAAGCTGTTGGCAATATTCCCTAAGACTCCAGTGGCACAGGCTCCATCCCTAAGCACCTGTTTATGGGACAGTTCTTAACAGACCTGTGTTGTACCAGGGCTTTTTGATAGTAGCGAGTGAATGAAAAGAATTACTGCACTATGATATGGTTGTGCCTTTCACCTTTGGTCATGTCGACTTGAGGTGTGCTGTGAGGTGGGAAGAGGAAAGTTTCCTCAGCTGAAGGAGAGATCACATGAGAGACTAAAGAAAGTAAAGAAGAAAGGGCTTTAGGGGTTCGGCTGGGGAGGAATCATGTGGTAGGCGAAGGAATGGGGAGGGCTGGAGTTCAACTTTTTTCCTTTGAAGATACTAACAGTTTTATGCTTCCCTAACTCAGCACAGATATACAAACCAAAATCATTTGGAAGGGCAAGATGTCCTGTGTTTGAATTGGAGGCAAGGAGAAATAAAAAGCTGCCAGTTGTTCTTGAAACACTGGAAATCTTGGGTAGGAGCAGAGTGTAAATAAGAAATCAGCAGGTTGGGATCTCAGTGCAAATGTTATTTTAAGGAAGACCTTTCCCTTTTGTCAGGGTTCACTGGTTTCTCTCTCTCTCTCTTTTTTTTGTAAAGTTTTGTTTGCAGCTTTCCCATGAACAGCTATTTCAATGCTTATTTGGAAACAGGTGGGGATTTATTGCTTGTTGACTCTATGCATTTGGGTTTTTCCCCAGTGGATGACACGGTGGTTGCTGTTCCCTATGGAAGTAGGCATGTTCGCCTTGTGCTGAAAGGACCAGACCACTTATGTAAGTACAAAAGACACATTCTGTTTTTGTTTAGAGAAGCCTTCCTATCCCATCACATACTGTTTACAAAGGGGGCATATGGTTTCTTTCTCTCAAATAACCAGTTTTAACTCAGGGGACAAATTCTGCCCTCAGATGCTCTCACCAGTCCCATGACATCAGCGGAACTTGCACTTATATTTTTGGTCATAGGTTCAAAACCTTTAGACCCTTCCATAAGTCTTAAGATGTTTCTATTTGTTTATATTTTTGCTGGCTAGCTGGATGCCAAGCATGTCTGCATTAAGAGAGAGAGAAAAAAGAATTAGAGAGACTTATCTTTTTATTTTTTAAACCTTTATTATAAAAATATTAAAAAGGTGAAAGTGCCAAAGAATGTATCTGTCTGTCCCCTCAGAGGCTGAGCATGAAATATTTGTCAGCAGCAAAAACACAATATCACTGGAGGTTGAAACCTCTTCCCCCCCATGCCCTTCATGGGATTACGTATTTAGGATTAGCTGAGCATCTTCCACCTTGCAGAATGCCCCGTCAGTGACCTAGCATGACACAGACTAGTCCACAGTTTGTCACAATTTGTTGCAAAGTGAGGTGTCCAAAGACAAATGTGACACATGCATGGCCCAAGAAGTGGAAAAGTTGGAGGGCGCTGTCAGAGCCAGCCCTTGTGAGCCATTTTCTGCAGCTTTTCCAGTTCGCCACCTTGGCCTGGCCCAGCAGAAAATTAGCCAGGCAGATCATGCTCCCTTTGGCTCTATCTCATGTGGGATAGATAGAAGAAGAGAGAAGTAAGGAAAGATGAGGGAAGGAAGAAAAAAAAGGAGAGAAAGCTACATACAGAGATAATGAGGAGGGTAAAGTATAGGCTTTCCTACTGCTAAAATCAGCCCCAAAGTGCTTATATGTTAAACACACATAAATCTCCCTCTTCCCCTGCCCTGCACATATACAGAGCAAGAAGAAGAAAAAAAAGAATGTACACATGCATAACCAAATTCTGTCCTTAAGAGTTGTACTGCCTCATGAGGAGCAAGTCCACTGACTTTGATCCTACATCTGCTAGCATAAAAAGGGCCTTTTCTCACTGTAACAGAGCACCCTGTGCTCTGTTACTCCCAGGGGCATGGGCATTAAGCAGGTAGCCTGCAGCTGGCTTTTACCTCAATTAGGCCTAATTGGGGAATAGGGCCCAGCTGTTAGATATATAAGGGATGGGCCTGGAGCAGCAGTCTGCTGCTAAGAGTTGAAGAGACATCACCAGCTGAGCTGCTGCTCAGCATAACTTGGAGGTAAGGGAGGAGCTATTGGGGTGTCAGGAGGCTCCTTGTCCTGGGTATAACAGAAAACTGCACCCTGCCAGGAAAGGGTGGCCTGGTGGGACTGTCTGTGGTGCAATAGTCTCCCAGAAATACCAGGCCAGTTACTGTCTCAGTGAAAGGTGGGTGGGGTCCGTGATAATCCCAGTCCCCACATCCCTGGTGGGTAGCAAAATCAAGAAAGGGGGAGCCCAGACTCACTATGAGTACTGAGGCAGGGCCGAGGCCAGGTAGAGGAACCTGAGGTAGTACCCAGACTCAGTGGAGTCTGAAGCTGCACCAGCAAGCCAAGAGTTAAGCTCCACCGGGGCGGGGCTTTGGGGAGCTGTTAAGGAAACTCCTGGGTGAAGGGATAAGGGTTAACTTATGGAGTGCACTGGCACAGGCCTGGGAGTCCTAGCCCTATAGTGAGGGGCTTGGAGCCAGGAGATAGGGGTTGTAGGCCCAGAGACGTGGCTTGGGGCCCAGTATGTGTATTAGGAACATGATAAGGCCAAATGTTAGGCCATGGAACATCTGCAAGACATGAAACATGATAAAGGGAGGTCAGAGTTGTGTACATAGCCCTTGTCATCAGGGGAAGTAAAGGGCAGCTTCCTGCCTGATGAACATCATTCAATCATGAACATCAAGGCATGGCAGGAAATGTAGGTGCATGGTTTGCTCGGAAGCAAGTGGGTGGGCCTACATTGAGACCGGCCTGGGGATACCCACTTGTTACGTTCTTCTTGTCCCTTCTTCAGTGCTGTCTAACTTGGAGGGTGTTAGACAATATTCCCTGAATTCAGGAGAATGTTGGGGCTGTGGCTTTGACTGGTCCTGAATAGGAACACCATGGAAAATGTTAAAGCTTGGTGTAGTTTTCTCCTCCCTTGCTATCAATGCTGTTACAGTCAGAAATACTGAAGCATTCTCTAGTAGTAGCCTCCAAACACTGCAGTTTAAGATGCAACACCTTAAACAAGTATTGTAGCATCCTATAGTCCTTTTAAAATAAGGATGGGGACAGTTTTCAAGCTGTGTAGACCCACTGAGACAGCCCCTGTATTTCCTGGTTAACAGAATATTATTAATAATTGAGAACTTCTCTGTGTTTCAGACATTCTCACCAAAATGCTTCCATCCTGGTGCAATGGAAAGTGTGGTTTTTCAATCCTATGTCTTGAGACAGCAGTAGGCACATAATCTTTGTATGACTCTTCAGCAAATTACAGGTTATAAACTAGAAAAAAAATCATAACTTTTGCTTAAAAGTTCAAATCTTCTGAAATACTTTGAAATACTTCATTTTTAATAGGCCCTTTGTGTATTCCTGTCCTGCTCTAATGTGGTGGTTATTCCTTTCCCTGTAAATAACTTCCCCACTTTCCTTCTCTCTGCCTTCTCTCCTTGCACACATGCTCTATCACAAACTAGCAAACATTATCTTGTAAGTCTGTTTGCAATGAAATTAGCCTGTAAGGCAGCCTGGGAAGATTATTTTAGTGAGAAGAGCATCTGTGGAAGTAAGCAGAAGGCTGCCAGAGCACCCTTTTCACTCAAGACATCACATTCCAAAATAAGAAAGATCTGGATCAGCGGGCCATAGCCGAGTCACTAAACTGAGATTCAGATCACTTGCTTTATATAGATATGAATGGATCCAAGTGCATCTCATGTTGGTTTCAGACAACTCCATGAAATATTTTGTTAATGTATCAAAGGATTATATATGTGAACTGCAGTTCAGCTTTGGGTTTTTTATTTCTCCCCATGAACATTTGGTTGGAGGGGAAGTCAGCAGGAGTCTGACTGCAATATACAGCAACTCTTTAAAACAGTGATTTTTTTTCCATACTTCACATGGAGTCATGAGCAGAAATAAAATTTCAAAGTGATTGTGCCTCACAAAGTCAGAAACAAACTAACCTCATCAAAAATCAAGGAATTCAGAGAGATTCCTTAATACACTACACTCAGCAGCTACTGTTTTAAGATCATTCCTGTGGCCCACCTTGTAAAGCAACCCAATTGCAACAATTTTTAAGAATTAACTTATTTGTCCAGCCTTTTTTCTCTTTGCCATCTCTGAACATGTGTTACTGTCACATGAATATGTTTTTCAGTATCCTGTACCACTCTCCTTAGGGACTCATTGTATATTGGCTCATATCTGGGTGGGAGAAGGCATTCCTAAACATTGTAAATAAGTGTGTGAAGCCCTTTGAGATCCTTCATGATGAAACCTGTTATCCCTGTTTGATAGTGACAAGAGTTCACTATCAAATATACTACAGGGAGCAAGCTGGCACTGACAAAACTAGATGACATAACAGGCCTTCCTTTTGATTACTGACTTCTCATAACCCTCTGATAAATATAAGGTCATTAACCCTACAGAGCAGTACCTGAATCGGGATACACTTGGGATCTTTGGGCACAATTTTAGAGATAAACAGGCAGAAAGAGTTTAGTTGTCCCTATTAGTTTACCATTAGAGTCTCCTTCTTGGACTCTTTGTAGACACTTTAGTTAATATTTTATATATGTTTCCTTTTTCTTTGCTGGACAAACTGATTTCAGTTAATGGGTGGCGGGCAGTAGCTGTATGCTGGTCTCTCATTGACTGATCTGGGTAATTGCTGTAAGCCACTCTCTGGGTCTGTTCATAACCTCATCAACAAGATTTATTCCTAAGCATAAAAGAACGTCAATCCCCAAAGCAATAACTAAAAAACCTCTGCCTTTTCCTCACCCTGGGGTAGTGAATGAGGGGAGGGAGCAGTGGGCTAGTGTCACCCTAGTTACCATCAATGGCAGAACTGTTCCTTCACAGCCTACCTGCCCGCTCTCTCTTCTCTTAAATCTTGTAGCTGGAGCCCTGCACTTCCTTCTCATCTGCTAACCAGCCTTGCCTAAAACAGGCCTGGCTTCTCCCAAGTCCTTACAAAATTGGACCTCCCTGTAACAGTGGCCCACCTAGTTTGTCATGTTTAGTGGCATATCCCCTTTAGCTCCCTTTAACTCTAAAAGCAAAACCAGAAGTCAGCACAACTAACACTAAAAAGCACAGAATGACTCCCTCCTTCCACAAAAGAGCATGATTTATTGCATACAGGGCTGCACACTTTAGAAAGCCTGAGAGTGAATGTGCTTGATAAGGCTGGAGAAGAGAGCAAGAGCAGTGTCCTGTGAGTGAGTAGGTGGGTTGGTGTATAGGGACAGAGCTGAGAGGTGTAAGTGTTGAACATGTTAGGTAAAACAGGTTGCAGGGGTAGAAAAATGAAAAGGAATATGTATGGGGATGAAGTAATGACAAGAGCTGAGAGGTTTCTCATGTTTTCCTTTCTTACATTCTGTCATTCTGGTAATGTTATTTCTAATTTTTATGCATATGTCTGCTCTGTGTGAAACAGTAGAGCACTTCTAGTCTCTTGTTAACTTGTTTGTGTTTGCCAGATTTGGAAACCAAGACTCTTCAAGGTGTGAAGGGTGAAAACAGCCTCAGCTCCACAGGCTCTTTCTTTGTGGATAATTCTAGCATCAACTTTCAGAAGTTTCCAGACAAGGAGATACTCAGAATATCTGGGCCTCTCACTGCAGACTTCACAGTCAAGGTGAGGGTTAGAAATGAAACACAACAATTTAAAAAAACAAACAAACCCAAAAACAATGTCCATGCTTCTGAAGGACCAGAGAGGTTTCCTAAAAATAGTTTTCCTGGGAAACAAAACTGGGACCTGGTCCAGGCTATTTTCTGTGCCCACTGTGAATAAACAGCTAATATGATGGAAGTTTCATTGGAAGCTCTTTGGAAAAGAGACTTAATTTATTCAGGGGAAAAAATATCCCAGGTGTGCTTAAACAGAAAAGACAGACTAATGACAAATGATGATGGATGATGCTGTTTGGGATAGGTATAACCCACAGACCAAGCAGCTTGCATAGTTTGTGACCTGAAGAGACTGCAAGCCTGAGTTTTCATTCTGTTATGCTGTTTTTTACACTGCTGTAATACCACCAAAGGTGTAAAATGGATTTAATGGAGCAGGGAGCTAAGCCCAAGGGTTCCAAAGTAAATGGGTTGGCTTTGGTTGGGAAGCAGCCCAGGTATCATCTGGAAGTTCTGCTTTATGTTGTATTAGAAATAAGAATCAAGTTGCTTCCTCCCATTAGTGCTTTTCTGTTCTTCCAGGTAATATAAAATGCACTGCTGAAAGCAATACACACATTCTGTAGTAAAAATGCACACAGAAAAATGAACATTTGGGAATTACAATAAAATGAAGTCCTTTTTCAGTAGGTCAAAGGGACCTGAAGGATTTCAGCTGTAAAACCTGTATCATACCCAGGACTCCATAAATTTTTCATCATGGGACCTCAAGGCAAAGGGTATTTGATTTAAGTTAATGTTGATGACCTTGTGGCAGCTGGATGTATGAATGCTGGACTGGAAAATGTGACAGGTGATTGGATTGGAGGAGGGTGGAGCAGTGCACTGATGACTGTCCCCTGGCTCTTTCAGCATGGTTACAGCCGCTAATCCAATCCAGATACAGAAGCCAAAAGTGCCTGGTGAACAAAGAAACACAGGAAAACAAGATGATATTTTATCTGCATGATGGTCATGGGCAGAATTAATTTAAAGAAAGCAGTTTAAACCCTGCCATGCTACCTCTCTGATGTGGAATGAATATCCCTTGATTAAAAAGTCACTGTCCAGATACAAATATTTTTTAAAGATCCGCTGTCATAAACAACACTCTAGATTATAAAAGCCAAAATAATGGTAATGATTTAACTTTCTTCCCATTTGTTACTGGCAGTTCTGAAATATGAATTGATTAATTGAAATACAGTAATTGGAGGTAAGAAAGTCAGTAGTGAAACATGGACCTGGGTATCAGGAGAGCTGGGTTGCATTTCAGACTCTGTCAGGGTTCTATTGACTTGCAGAAAAAGTACTTCACCTTTATCCCTTTCTCCATTTCCACATTGGCAAAATTAAAGGATTCCTGTCTTCCTCTTTAAAGTACCTGGGGGTGGGGGGGAGAGGGAGATGAAAAACATCACATAGATATCATTTTGCATAAGCTCTCCTTCTGCCCCCAGATCTAGCTCCCATTGACCTGGTTGGAAATGTTGCCATTGATTTCAGTGGGAGTTGATATGGTCCCATCCATGTCACTTTCTGGTTTTCACAAGCACCAAGCTACTGATTGTGGAATTTAAACATACCAAAGGAAATGTTTGCCTTTGTTTTCTTTTTACAGCTTACTAATTTGAAACTAATACATAAAGTCAGGGAAACATTTCTCTTGGTTTTAGGTTATGCAAAGACCCATATTTACAAAATCTAGCCATAAATTTTGAGCTAAATTTGACCTAACAATCTCTTCGTTGCTGTACTATGAAAAAAGGGATTTCTCTGTGTAGAGTAAAAAAAGTCAACAAGATGAGGAAATGTTGCAGGTTTTTACGATTTGTTAAAAGCTGATCATATGCTTGATGATGCACAGTATTAAGCCAGTGTCTTTCCCCTGGATTCATATGAAAAAAATTACAGAGTCACTATAGTACATTCCTACTAAATATTCAGGAGCCAAACACTAATTGAAGTTAGTGAAGTTCTTTTTAAGGATTTCAGAGTGCTTGGGATCTGGCACTTAACAGTTATTGCTATACTTAAATCTGTAGAGAACTGGGTTTTGCTGACTGTTAATGAAAGGATAGAAATAGATGATGGTACATTTAGCCAACAGAGATCCCTGCACACGCAAAAGCAAAACTGACGCCATTATTCTCTGTATTATAATTAGTTTTGCATTCTCTTAAAATCTTCAATGACTGGATTTTCTAGTTGTTATATTTATGCACAAAGCACCTCTCCAGGAGGCAAGAGTATACAAATGTGGGCATGCTTCCAAGCCTTGCCCACATCCTTCCTTGCCTGCCATAACCTCAACTGCTTTGCCTGGAGTATACAGACTAATGTATCCCTGAAAAGCAAATTGAAGACCCTGTCATAGTGGCAGCTAGCTTTCTGCACATGGGGCTGCCTTGCATCGAC